TTATTTTTATATATTGTGTTCATATATGGATCTAGTTTCGTTTAAAAGAAACGGGGATCAATTTCAAGTTGTATACAAATAGATATGAATTGTTAACTGAGGAAAGGTCAGAAAAGTCGGACAGCAGAATTCTTAACAAAACAGATTCTGTTGGTGAACTTTGAAAATTCACCATAAATTGTACAGAATGAATTAGAATTATTTATTTATATGGATAGATTCGTATTCGAGTCTAGTTTTCAATGGAAAAAACGGAATTAAATTCCAGTGTGTGTATCAATACAGTGTAATGATTCTTTAAAGGTAGTACGAGTTGTCAGAATTCTGGAAAATTGATGGGTTATTGTATAAGTGTTGTATAATTGATGTACTATGCTGGAATTTTTGTTTGAGAATTGAAATGAGTGTTAAATGTGAAATTGATTATTTTGGGAAGATTGAAATGATTGGTGATTTAAGTACAACAATTGCATAGTTGGGGTACTTAAATGTATTTATGCTTTTGTAAAAGCATTTGAATGGAAATAATTTCAATGTTGGAATTATTGGTATTAAGAATTTAAGTGGTAAAATGGTGAAGACCATTTTGAGTAAATGGGAAAAGTTGGTTCCAATGTTATAAGGAATTATTAAGAGTAAATATTTTGATAGATGATGAATTTAAAATATAGTACGGAGATATGGTGGAATGTATTTATGTTAGTAAAATACTAACATATGGATTATTATGAATTGATGATTTATACAGATTGTGATTGATTTGTAATCGAAGCAAATCAAATATAAAAGGGCTTATGGTGGACAATAGTGAGGCTTATATATTTTGAAAGACATAAAGTGTCAAGGTGAGTGCAATACATGCATGAAATTACACATGGATGTTTTATACATCATAAGGAAGACTTGCGATAAGTCGACCTTGTTTATATCAACATGATATTATGCCATGTTTTTATAAATTGACATGACATTGAAATGTCACGGTATGAAATCAAAATGCATTGATTATGAAAAATGTGATATTTTACCATGAATGTTTTCGGGTATGAACTGCCCAATGTTAAATATTGATAATATATTTTGTCATGGATGAATTGAATAAAATAGACTATATGCCCAAGTAAGTCATTGAGGGACAGGGTATAGTTGGCATGCCATAGAGTATAGCAGCTGCAAGTTTATATTAGTACTATAGTGTGTAAGGACACTAAGTGCAGGTTTATGTCCGGATTAGCACTATAGCGTAAGCTTAGTGTAGGTGGTGGGCACGACCTTATGTGTATTGTCCGAATTAGCACTATGGCGTAAGCTTAGTGCAGGTTTAGCACTACGGTGCATGTATTTTACTCGTATACCCAGGGTCCTCAGGGTGTTATATTGGGCTATTGTCTACGGTTTATTGGCTATGGATTATGTTTTATTGGTTAATAAATGATAACCATACAAATAAGCTTATGAGCTTACAGAATAATGGCAAGCATATTGAAAAAAAAAATAAGCTTACGAGCTTATGGAATTTAAATGGTAAGTATTTTGGTAAAAATAAGCTTATGAGCTTATGGGATAAAAGGTAAGAAATTTATATTATTTTGATCATGCTAAAATATTGAAGATGCTATTAGCATGGTTTATGGCATTGGATTTGAAATCTAAATTCATGCATGAATTGTATTGCACTATATATTGTTTTAATTGCCTCACTAAGTTTATACTTAGCGTGTGATGATTTTCACGCGTAGGTAAAAAGCAAAGAATAAGAATAAAGAGTTCAGAACGACATCAAGCATCGAGAGGTATATTTCAATATCAGTAAGACATCCTATTGTGAAATTTGATTTTAGATAGTGGCATGTAATTTGAAAATGTTCAATTTATTTGTTGAATTAATTTGGAAAGTTTTACAGTGATTAAAGGTTAATTTTTATGAATTTATATGTAAATTTTCGGAAGTTACTGTAGCATGAACAGTAACCATGGTTTTTAAGCTAAATTTCCAGATTGTTAAAGGGTACCGGGAATCGATTCCCTCACTGTTCACTGTTTACTATTCGGGTACTATTCACTATTCATAATTAAAAATATTTTGAATTAAATTGGTTACAACGAAACGTAATTTTTATGATATGATAATTTTATAATATCATTTACTATTTTAAGAAAATAAATTTTAAATCGACGGGTGACATCCGTAATCTGTATATGTATAATTATATGGGTTATGGGTGTTACAGTTAATTTTTTCAAAGTATTTAAATTTTTTTGTTATTATTTTAAGCGTCTAACTATTAACGGCTATTAAAAATTTGATCAAATTTAATTAATCAATCAATATTTTACACATGACCTAATTTTTATTTTTTTGAAAAATAAAAATTATATTAAAAAAATCCTAAATGTTCCTATTTTTCACAAAACAACCTAAAATCCAAAAAAAAGTTGTAATCCCTAAATACTAATTCTCTAGTTAAGTTTAGGAGTCGAGGAGATTTGAATGAAGATAAGGGGATGGTTTATAGTAGAAATCTGGCGATGGGTGACCGTTCGACGATGAAAAGGGATTAGGAGTATGTGTATTTGAGATTTAGGGATTTAAATTTAGGGATTTAGGGGATTGGGGCAACAATAAATGGATGTTCGATAATGGTGATCCGACTATGAGTGAGTGGGTGTTTGACGATGTTAGTGGTGATCTAGGGCAAAAAGAGATTGGTGGTTTGGATATTTAAAATTTAGGGATTTAAATTTAGAGAATTGGGGGAATTGGTTAAGAGTAAGGGGGCGATCGATATTGATGATTGGATGACGAATGGGTGAGTGTTCGACGACAAAAAAAGGTTACAAATTTTAAGATATTTTTTTGGAAATTTAGGGAAATTTTTTTTAAAAAATTAAATTAATATTTATTAGATTTTTAAATAAAAATTACATACTTTTATAAATATAATATATGTCATATTTTAAGTGGTTTATGTTTTTTTAATATTTGTGAAAAATTAAATACTTAGAATGACCAACAATAGATATAATTTAAGTATTTGTTTTCTAATTGAGTCGTTTATATTTCGTTTATCTATTATAATAATAATAACAGGGGTAAAGTACACAAACGGTCACCCGACAATAGGATGATACTTTATTAAGTCCCTCGACTATTAAAAGTTACAAAATGATCCCTTAACTATAGAACAATGCTTTGTTGAGTCCCCTAACTATTAAAAGTTACAAAATGGCCACTCAACTATTCATATGTTCCAAACTCGTCATTTTCTGTTAAAATTTGAAGGTAGTTTGAGCTGGACGTTAAACCGCTGACTGTGATATGATAAAATCTGATATCAAAATATTAAACGACTATCATATCTCAATCAACAGGTTAACGTCCATCTCATATTATCATCAATTTTTAACGAAAAATGACGAGTTTGAAATATATGAATAGTCGGGTGACTATTTTATAACTTTTAATAGTCGATTGACTCAGTAAAGCAACACTCTATAGTCAAGAGTCATTTTATAACTTTTAATAATCGATAAACTTAACAAAGCAGTGTCTTATTATCGGAGGACCCTTTGTATACTTTACCCTAATAATAATAAGGCTTACTACAAAAATAAGTGTTCAAATTTTGTCTTAAAAAATGTTTTAGTGCCTAAAATCTTTCACTAAAAATAGGTGTCTAACGTTTTCTCTGTTACCATTTTAGGTGTCCGAACGTTAACTGCTATTAAAAATCTCCATTAAGTGACATGTGTCACGTTTGTGCAATTTTGAGAATTTTTATTTAAAATAAAAATATATACTTTTTTTAAAAAAAAACTTTTTTTTTTCAAATCTTAAAAAACCCTAAAACTTTTAAAACTTTAATTTCAATCCCTTTACCATTGTCGGCCGCCACCAACACTGTTAATCGGCCGAACACTTAACGACATGTGACCGACGGTGGCAACTGGATTAAAATTAAAGTTTTTAAAGTTTTATTTTTTTTCAAAGCTTTGAAAAAATTTAATTTTTTAAATATATTATTTATTTTTTATTTTAAATAAAATTGCTCAAAATTAACATAACGTGACACGTGTCACTTAACTGAGATTTTTAACAGCAGTTAACAACCGAATACCTAAAATGATAATAGAAAAAACGTTAACTCCTATTTTAATAAAAAATTTAGATACTAAAACGTTTCTCAAGATAAATTTATTTTTATATCAAGCCTAATAACTAGGGGTGTGCAAATCCGAGTACCCGGGTTTTCAGGTACCCAAATCTTCGGGTAATTGATTTCTCTGCCCGTGCCCCGACCCGGATGTTGCGGGTACTTATATTTCGGGTACCCGGATACACAATTTTTTCTTCAAATTATTAATTAAAAACACACAAATTTAAATGTTCGAAACTTCGAATTACATAGTCTAACATCCAAACATAATTAAAAAAATGTCATGTTAGCATCATTGTTCATTTTTAAATATGGGTGACCAAAACAGAATTAAAACGTAATGTTAGATATAATTTTGAAAAAAAATAATAATTGACTGACCAAAACATAAATTAAATAATATATAAGTGACCAAATAGGTAATTTATCCTAAACAAAAATATATAAAAATTATATTAGATAATATATAAGTGACCAAATAGGTAATTTACCCTAAATAATAATTGAGTGGTCAAAATATAAATTAGATAATATATAAGTGACCAAATAGATAGTTTTTGTGACCAAAACATAAATTTTTTAAAAAAATTATCCGATATTTTAAGTTTGGGTCGGTGGATTAACGGGTCGGGATAATCAGATCGAATATTTTTACACATCCGTACTAATAATAATAGCAGTAGTAGTAATAATTCTGCGTGATTGGATAACGTCTAGACTGAATTTGCGTATCATCATCAACCTTGAGAGAAGTCAAAAAAGACAAAATGATGATCAAGCTTACCTGTTAAACTCAAACAAACAATAACTTTGCTGTCAGTACAAACAGCTGTCCTGTCTTCTATCATTCCATAAGCTTCTTTACTACCACCAATCTCTTCCTCTTCCCTTCATCTGTACCTTCAAAAGCCTTTTGCTTTTATTCCCATCTCAAACCCATAATAATGGGAGCTTCTGAATCAGTTCCTCAAAAATCAATCCATGAATTCACTGTCAAGGTTCCTTCTTTTTCCCCTTTTCTTTTATAGGTTTAGGGTTTTTTGCCAATATTCTTGATTGTGTTTGCAGAATAGCAAAGGCCAGGACGTGGACCTTAGCATATACAAAGGAAAGGTTCTCTTAGTGGTTAATGTTGCCTCTAAATGGTACTTCTTCATATCTAATTTCTCTTCTTTAACTTTTTCTCCCTTGTTTTTTTTTTCTGATTCTGAATTCTTTACCTTTATGGATTCTGGAAAAGTGGGTTTACAGATTCGAATTACACCCAGTTGACTGATCTTTACAACAAATACAAGGACAAAGGTTAATTCTCTTATCTTTACTCTCTTACATATAAAATAGTAACTAACAAATATGTTATTGTTCTTGCACTTGCAGCTAAGCTAGATTTTTATGAAAGTTTCTTAGTGATTTTAAATATCTAACTGGAATCATTTCAAGTTTTATCCATTGAAAAGTTGTTGTCATTTTGTAAGAAAGTGTGCAAATTGCTTAGGGAAGCAGATCGATTCTTGATGCCAAAATCTACTTGAAGATTCCAAATATAGGGGCTTAGTTTGGTTTAGATCTAGCACAAGGTAGTTTGTAAATGCCAAGCTGTAGGAACCAGCAGCTGGAAAAGGATTGGAGGAAAAAGAAAGGAATGGGGTTGAACCCATTAAGTGTCAGTGGTTAAAGAGAGTGTTGTTCTCCTGGAGGTCTCGGGCTTGAGCAGCTAAGTCTGTAGAGTGTGTGTTGTCTATGGCTAAGCATGTCAGCTGGAGCAACATGTGCATACATTTGATTCACAATGACTGTAGATCAAAATGGATCGAGTTCGATACTATATCTAGGTGATTTGGGCAATTTGATATGATGATATTATATTTTGCATTGAATTTTTCGGTTTAGGCAATTTGGTCATATGAAACAAATGGTCGAATAATAGTCGTCTTCAATTTTCTCCCCTGGATATGTTAAGAGTTTATGCTTTTATTTTCTGACTGAAGGGCTAGAGATCTTGGCGTTCCCATGCAATCAGTTTTTGAAGCAAGAACCTGGTACCAGCCAAGAGGCAGAACAATTCGCTTGTACGAGATACAAGGCTGAATATCCTATTTTCCACAAGGTAATGTACAACATATTTAGTATTCGATATGAATCTCTTTTCTTATTAGTAGTATCGGTTCTACCAATGACCCCGATTCGGGCATTTGCAACCATTTAGATGTTCCTTTTTCTTTTTAACTCTGTTTCCTTGTATATGGAAGCAAAGAAGTCCCATATGTTCACAGTTTCCACATCTCTACTTAAAAATGAATTGTAGTTGAAACATTGGCTTTTATGTATTGTCAGTTTTGCCTTTAAGTCATATATTCCTTATGTATGTGCTTCGAATGTTTGTGATTGTTGTTGACTGGAATGGCGGAGAACTCATACGGAACTGTATTTCTAAACGGAATTTATCGTCTCTTGGTTTTCTATGTACAGAAATTGGCAGCATTTTGATTGCATTCATTTTATCTTCAGACTTCAATACGCATTCAATCTTCTAGACGATCGATGCAGTCTAACTGGTTACTCTTTCCTACTAAATTGTATAAATTTAGGTTCGTGTCAATGGGCCAACTACAGAACCTGCCTACAAGTTCTTAAAATCAAACAAATCTGGATTCTTGGGATCTAGGATAAAATGGAACTTCACCAAGTTTTTAGTTGATAAGGATGGTCTTGTCCTTGCTCGCTATAGCCCAACCACCTCACCGCTGGCCATAGAGGTATTCCCTCCTTACTCAATTTAGAGGTGATCATGCACCAGCCAAGTTAGATGCTCTGGTGATCATGCACATTTCACACTCATTTATGTGCTTCTTTGCTTTACATGTTGCAGGGAGACATCAAGAAAGCATTAGGAGTGGATACGTGAAAGATTTACGAGTTCGAGTGGAAATGAAAATACGAAACAATGTGTAGATGAAAGTGTTAGCCATGCCTATAATAATCTGTACCACTGTGATGATACCTCATGTAATGGTAACCTATGGCTTGAGTTGTAAAATAGCAAGTAGTCTACCACTGTGCTGATTTCTTTGTTGCATTTGAGCTTATTAGTTTCCTCTTTGAACTTCATTGTCACCCATGCCTGATGCAACGATTTAGAACTGTTTCAGAATGCAGACTGTGTTACTTGGATTCAGGTGTTGGATACTCCAGAATGGACCGAGAGGAGGCGGCGGGGGATGGTCACCCTCCACCCTGAGAATTTCAAATTATCATATATTTTAGATATTTTTCTTTTATTTTCTATTAATAATATATTTTCGTCCTCTTAAAATTTTATAAGTTCGTCTTAATATAAAATCATGTGTCCGTCCTTGTAGATATTGATGCATGTCTAACACTTGTATCTGTTCAATTCATTCTTAAGGTTTTAATATTGGCATAATACCAAAATTTACCACCAACGTTTACCAAAATGATCATTTTGCCTATTATTATATTTTTTTAGCATTTTGGCTCCCAACATTTCATTTTAAGACAAAAAGTACCTTAACATTTTATATAATAATTAATCTTTTTTTTAGAACATTTTAGCCATCAACATTTTATTTTAGGTTCAGAAATGCTCATATTTTTGCGCATTAATCGTATGTTAACTAATAATTTTTATCTATAAAGAGTTTTTTTGCCACAAAGTAAAACAATGGGGTTCAAAATGCTAAAAAAAATAGGGGTTAAAATGACAATTTTGATAAACTTTAGAGAATATTTTTTATATTATGCCTTTAATATTTCGTACCTGTACTTGAATACATATATGGTAGGCCATGGGATGAATGTCGGATACAAGTACTTCAATAAAAGTGAAAAACTAGACTTAAGCATCAAAAGTCGGTTTGTTTCAGACATTTTGCACAGATAATAACACCAACTAGTTTATCAGGTGTAATGAACTCAATCTTATCCAAATAATTTAATTCGAATTTAAGAAATTTAGGAATGACACGAAATTCATAGATTTAATATTAATCAGATTATTTTCTTTCGATAAGTTCCGGGGAATTAAGATAAAATTCAAATTCTCTTCTCAAACTTCTCAATCTTACGTGATAGTTTATATATGCTGATATGATATCAAACCTAATGTTACAATGATTGTCCTTAGGCTGACAGAATAATGAATCTCCATCGACCATCATAAACACTGCAATGAAATCTCCCCGACACCCTGGATCTTTTTCTCCATATTTTCCAATGAAGTTTTACTGCAACAATCTCGTACTTGGAACCATTATCTTAAAACATCAAAACCCCACTTCTTTTTGCTTTCGCACGTGTCCATATTTCTACACCTTGAATCCTAAACAACTTAAAAATCATATCATAGTTTCTCACTATCTGCCTCTCTTTCCCCTTGAATCTGATAAGCTTTTTATAAAGCAAAACCCTTTTGTTTTTGCATGCAAATCTTTAGCACAAACAATTGGGAATCATCAATCATCTGTCGCTGTCGAAGAACGTACGTGGCTTTGCTTTTTACCACCACCATGAAATGGATGGGGTATAACCTGACCCGATATGTTCACCAAATTGGTCACATGAGAGCATAAAAAGACCGAGAGAGAGAGCGAGTGGGAGTGCCCGTCTTCTCTAAAAATTTCAGAACCTTATTGTCTCCCACTTGAGAATAAGTAGGACAGACCATTTATGAAACGTGAGGCGTTTACAAAACTTAACGTTGAAACTGGTTTTGTCACTGCCGGCAATGATAGGTGGCCGGCATGTCGGATCGACTGGGACTTTATATCGGTTTGGCCTTACCACGACACGGCACACGTGATAGCCGAGAAGTGCAAGAGTGTACTGTAGTTGGCCCATTGATAAGCTTTTATAACGTCATGACACGAGTTTTTTCTACTTAAATTGTTTCTATTCTTGTTTGGTTTCACATTGAAGATTTTTTTTTTGAATTACAGAGTGGAGGAACTAAGAAATATTAGTTTCGCAATGCAAAGGACCAATACTGTTACTATCGATCAGCCTTTGTATTATTAGGTTGGGAGAGCCGTCCTTGCTTATACAGTACCCAATCTAAATTAGTCGGTCAATAGATCGAATATCAATGATTAAATAAAGGGAATTAATTATTTCTAATGTTTAATTCTAATTCCGTGCAAGTGAATATTATATACTCCCCTAGGGAAATATATACTCACTATTGTAAAACTAGTGTAACTCTACACACCCGTATCTCTCTTTTTTATTAATATTTTAACGATTTAATCATTGTATTTGTTAATATAATTATACTTACCATACAATAAAGTTATACAATAATTTATCTTCACCATTTCGATCGAAATTATCGTTTTTGTCAATATGTATTTAATAATTAATATTTTATGTTGAATAAATTTATTGATAATTCTAATTTACTTTTAAAAGGTAGCATTTGACTTGTGTATTGATTTATTTTTGACAAAATTTAAATCTAATTCTAATCATATTTAAAGAGTAGAAAAATAGGGAATTCTAGGAGAATATGAATGTGAGTATTCCGCACGAATCTCAGTAACTTTGGTAGTAAATGAATTGTTATTTTTCCTTAAGGTTCTGAGTTCGAACACTAGGAATGCCAGTAGTACAAACATTTAATGCCAGAAAGTTGAAAGTTATCTTTGAACAAATGACTACCTTGTACTTACTCTAGATTAATAAAAAAAAATGTGAGTATTCTTAGTCAGTCTAAAACATATCCTAAGGGTGTTTGGATGGGGGAATGTGGGATTCCCATGGAATGGAATCCACATTCCCCCGTTTGGTTAGCCCGGGAATCTCATTCCCGGTAATGTAAGATTACCAATAGTGGATTTTTTGGGGTATATTATCGGGAATGTTATTACCTCCCTTTCCTTAGGTATTGTTGGATTCCCGGCGTTTTAGACTAAAATGACCTTATATTTTATATGAAGTTCAGAGGTTAAAATAAAATTTTACCCTTTTTATATTTTCAATTTTGTAAAAAAAATTATATAAATTTTATGAATTTAAATTTTTTAAAGAAAATATATAAATATTTTTCAACTTGTTAAAAATATATATATAATAAGGACAATTTGGTCAACTATACATTCCAATAAGTTTTTATTCTTTTAACCAAACACGGTAATCTTACATTCCTGCTAAGCCAACCAAACACAAAATACAACATTCCCAGTAATCCTATTCCCTGGTAATCTTACATTCCCACTGGTAATCTTCCATTCCGTGAACCAAACGCACCTAAGGGTGTGTTTGGTTGGGGGAATGTGAGATTCCCATAGGAATGTGAGATTCCCATGGGAATGGAATCTACATTCTCCCGTTTAGTTGATCGGGAATGTCATTCCTGATAATCTTATATTACCAATAGTGGATTTTTTGGGTATATTACCGGGAATATCATTACCTCCATTTCCTTAGGTATTGTTGGATTATTGACGTTTTTAACTAAAATGCCCTTAAAATTATTATTTTTTTCAAAAATATCCTTATTCTGTCATTGAATAATAAAAATTATACGAAGGTTAAATTACAAATATATCCATAAACTATTTTTTATTTACAAAAAAAAGTCTATAATTAAAATTTTATATGAAGTTCAGGGGTTAAAATAAAATTTTACCATTTCATTAAACCTTTTGGGTGTTTGGTTCAAGGATTGTGGGAATCTAACATTCCCATGTTTGGTTGGCCGGGAATCTCATTCCCGGTAATGTTTTATTACCAATAGTAGATTTTTTGGGGTATATTACCGGGAATGTCATTACCTCCCTTCCCTTAGGTATTGTAACATTACCGGCATTTTGGACTAAAATGCCCTTAAATTTTTATTTTTTTTCAAAAATATCCTTCTTCTATCATTGAATAATAAAAATTCTACAAAGGTTAAATTACAAATTTATCCTTAAATTATTTTAGATTTACAAAAAGAATTCTATAATTAAAATTTTATATGAAGTTCAGGGATTAAAAAAATGTACCCTTTCATTAAACCTTTTTTTATTTTTAATTTTGTAAAAAAATTTATATAAATATTATGAATTTAATTTTTTAAAGAAAATATATAAATATTTTACAATTTGTAATATTATACAAATATATAATAAGGACAATTTAGTCAAATATACATTCCAATAATCTTTTATTCCTTTAACCAAACACGGTAATCTTACATTCCTGCTAAACCAACCAAACACAAAATACAACATTCCCAGTAATCCTATTCCCTGATAATCTTTTATTCCCACTGGTAATCTTACATTCCGTGAACCAAACGCACCCGTTTATATTTTCAATTTTGTAAAATAAAATTATATAAATTTTATGAATTTAAATTTTTTAAAGACAATTTATAAATATTTTTCAATTTGATAAAAAAACAAATATATAATAAGGACATTTTGGTCAAATATACATTACAATAATCTTTTATTTCTTTAACCAAACACGATAATCTTACATTCCTGCTAAACCAACCAAACACAAAATACAACATTCCCAGTAATCCTATTCCCTGGTAATCTTTTATTCTCACTGGTAATCTTATATTCCGTGAACTAAACGCTGTAAGTTTGTTCATGGAATGTAAGATTATCAGTGGGAATAAAAGATTACCAGGGAATAGGATTACTGAGAATGTTGTATTTTGTGTTTGGTTGGTTTAGCATAAATATAAGATTATCATGTTTGGTTAAATAAATAAAAGATTATTGGTATGTATATTTGACCAAGTTGTCTTTATTATATATATATTTTTTTAACAAGTTTAAAAATATTTATATATTTTCTTTAAAAAAATTAAATTCATAAAATTTATATATATTTTTTACAAAATTGAAAATATAAAAAGGTTTAATGAAAGGGTAAATTTTTTTAACCCCTAAACTTCATATAAAATTTTAATAATAGATTTTTTTTTTGTAAATTTAAAATAGTTTAAGGATAAATTTGTAATTTAACCTTCATAGAATTTTTATTATTCAATGACAGAAGAAGGATATTATTGAAAAAAAATATTAAGGGCATTTTAGTCTAAAACGCCGGTAATCCAACAATACCTAAGAGAAGGGGTAATGACATTCCCGATAATATACCCCAAAAATCCACTATTAGTAATAAAACATTATCAGGAATGAGATTCCCGACCAACCAAAC